ATTTTAAGCAATTATAAAAAAATATAAAAAAATATATTCTAGCGGGCATATTTGGCCGCTGGACGGTTTAAGGGATACTGTCGGAATAAAGAAAATCCTGATAAACTACTAAGAGTAATAAAGAAAAAACAAGTAGAATTTGTATTAAAGACCCTGCATGAAGATCCTGTCTCTGGACATTTGGGCGAAAATATCACTATTGAAAAAGCAAAAGCCTGATACTATTGAAACCAAATGGTAACAATATATTGTTACAAGTGGACTGTAGCCTTCTTAATACAGCATAAGTAACAAAGCATACAGCTATAAAGCTCTGTTGTGAGATTATAGTGGTGTAGAAGTAGAATGTTACTTCACTAAGAGCAGTACATGGAAAATATATAGTTAAAGAAAGATATATTTTATTTACGGTATATAAGACTTTAATTACAAGAAAGAATCCTATAACTAAAGAGGGTTTCTGTATCTAATTGAGTCTATCTAAAGAAGATTTAAACTAACTGGCAGGAAGATAGAAAAGCCAGGGTTTATATATCTTTTCTAAACTATCCAAAACTAATAGAATTAATAAGAAACAGTAGAAACGGTAGAAATGGTAAGAATGGTAGAAACGGTAGAAATGGTAGAAATAATAAAAACGGTAAAAACGATAAAAATGATAAGAACAGTAAGAACAGTAGAAACGGTTATCATTCTATCAGTTTCTAATATTACGCACAACTAACCAATAATATCTAAGGTTTTATGATATACAATAATAGAATACAAGTTAATAATAATATAATAATAATAATAATAATATAACTAATAATATACTAATAATAACTAATAATAAACTTAATAATAAAACTAATACTACAACTCATTCTATAACATTTCCGTCCTCTTTAAGAATGAACTCCGTGAATTCTAACTTCTCTTAACAATGTCAAAAAGTTTTCTTCATTTAATTCTTCCAAGTTACTAAAGGTAATTGTCATAGTGAAATAAAGATAAGGTAATCCACAAACTTGGAGAAGTTGATAAATTCGTTCAGCACATTTCCATGCTTGGGCAGCACGTCTGGGTCCTAAAGCTTTTCTAAGATTATTACGAATCTTCTGTATCTTGTCTTTACTATTATCAACTTCTTTCTTTAGCTATTCTAAATAATAAGATGTTTCTAATATTCGAATTTGTTGATTACGTGATTTTTCATAGCTCTCTTCTTTTAATCAACTAATGATTTCTCTAAGTTTTTCTTTAAAGTTTATTCTAATTAGAGGGTTGTGTCGAATAAAAACTTCCTCTTTTACTTCTGTGAAGTCCTTAATAAGTCAAGCAAGAACTTCATTTTTTGTGTCTTGTATCTGTACAACATCTGTATCAGGTTGCAAAGGAGGTACATCCAATTCTTCTTCTATAGGTTCAATAGAAAAAGTAAGATCGTCAAATACTACAGTATATCCAGAAAATAATTATTTAATACATCAACATTTTCTAAATGTTGTGTAGATAGGTTCGGTTCTGTTTCTGGTACATGTTGTAATGACGTAATGATATCAGTTCTATCATGTACTACAATAGGATTTTCAGTTATAATTAAACTATTGTTTATGGCAAGAGGGTCTTGGTTCCATAGTACAAGAAAATTATTTAAAGCATTTATGGTCTGGGGCTGTAATTGTTGTAAGGTGGGAGTTTCCATTTTTAAAATGTAGGGTGAAGAATTACTAAATTAGGGAATAGAAATTTAGATGCAAGAGGGTATCTATTTATAAAGTTTTATAATAATACGAATATAATTAAGGGATTTTCAAAATGTTTGTTTGTATATCCTATATGGAGTGTCTTTGTCTACTATAATTGTCAAACAAGTTTTTTGTTCAACCATGTGCTTTGAATCTTCAATTCTAAAAATAAAAATTCTACAATGTTCTATTAATTAAAAATTCTTTGTCTGTCCATCGCCTTAAAAAGTGAGGTCTCCAAACTTCAGGTGCTAATTTGTCCAAAATTAGCTTCTATTTGTCTATAGATTTCTTATTCTAGCAATCACATTGTTAGTTGCAATTGTGTTCTTGCATGTATCATATGATCTTTTTGTTATGGCTAATTGTGTTTTCTGTTATTTAGTCCTTGATTTTTGGTTTTCGTCATATCCAAAAATCTTCTATTCACAACTTTCTGGTCCTTATCTTTTCTT